GCCGCCTCATCCAACTCCTCCGGAGCACTGTAAGTCCTACTTAATCGACAAGCAGCGATTGACACCCCTTCGAAAAGTTGAATGTCGTAGTTGAACTACAATTTTGCAAACAGGGAAACCAAAGAGTTTTTAGGGTTATTTGAGGCGCTATCTAGTGGCACCCATCGACAAGCAGCGATTGACACCCCTTCGAAAAGTTCAATGTCGTAGTTGAACTATAATTTCGCAAACAGGGAAACCAAAGAGTTTTTAGTAGTTCAAGCTGTCGCCCAAGTGTGCTTTCTGCTGTCTCGCACTTTTCCACGTGCAAGGAGCTTCAAGCGCTTCGCGCTTACAGTACCTTGCTCAAGGACACTTCGACGTGGTCAGAAGGGCCGGGAATCGAACCCGCAACCCCGGGGTCGTCTTATCAAGTCGATTCCATTGTAGAAATGTGGGAGTGAACACAGCTTCGACAACACGGCATTAAGTTCATTAAGTTAGATGGGCTGAGGCGCTATCTAGTGGCACCTCATGGCAAAGGTCAAGGTAAGAAATCGTGGGAAAAAAAGTGTGAAATGTGCAATCTCACCGCTGTCTGCTATCAACTGAAATGGACATAAACGTACCCTCGGACTCGCATTGCAAACGTCACATGACCAACCCAAAAAAGAGGCGTGCCCGTCTTGCAATGCGGGTTTGAGGGCGCTTTGATGGAGGGCTGCGCCATCGGTCAATATGAATGGAAATCGAAGTATTCTGGAAGACTGACACGGCACAAATGATCATGTATTTTGGACTGTAGGGATTCACGTCGTTACGTGTGACGTCATCCTGAATAGGTCTGAGCTGTGCAATGTTAGATGTGAGCTAAACGTTATTCCGTTCCACTCCACGGTGCATGAAAAGTTGCTGTCCTTATACCTGCGTCGTCATACCTACCTACCGGGGAACAACGGTAGAAGACAGAGCACAAGTGAATTCTCCTTTCAAAGTTCATGGCAAAGGTCAAGGTAAGAAATCGTGGGAAAAAAAGTGTGAAATGTGCAATCTCACCGCCCTCTGCTATCAACTGAAATGGACATAAACGTGCCCTCGGACTCGCATTGCAAACGTCACATGACCAACCGAGAAAAGAGGCGTGCCCGTCTTGCAATGCGGGTTTGAGGGCGCTTTGATGGAGGGCTGCGCCATCGATCAATATGAATGGAAATCGAAATATTCTGGAAGACTGGCACGGCACAAATGATCATGTATTTTGAACTGTAGGGATTCACGTCGTTACGTGTGACGTCATCCTGAATAGGTCTGTGTTGTGCAATGTTAGATGTGAGCTAAACGTTATTCCGTTCCACTCCACGGTGCATGAAAAGTTGCTGTCCTTATACCTGCGTCGTCATACCTACCTACCGGGGAACAACGGTAGAAGACAGAGCACAAGTGAATTCTCCTTTCTATTTCTGTTGTTTGATCCCCCTTAGAGGACACTTGGCAGGCCTCAAACCCGGACGTGACAAGCGATGTGACACACGCAATCAAGCAGGAGAGTCATCACAGGGGGACCAAACACCAAAAGCAGCTTCGAGTGATGCTGGAGTTGATGCTTTAAGCGGACATCTTCTGGGGTCCTTTATTCCGTTTCTTCAAGATTCAATAAAATTTGGAAAAACACATTTGAAGTGTTTGCGTTGGAAGGAAACGAATTAGAAAGGCATTGTCAAGAAAGTGCAACTCGATTTGCTGTTTCGTCATTGACGAAGAAAAATAATTCCCCGGGATTGCGAGTGAATGATGTTTAGAACATCGGAACCCTCATTTCAGCGCGAAAATCCATCGACGCAAACATCCTATCTGTCCACTAAGGGGCGCTTTTGTCACATTTTCGACGCATGTGTGCAGTTTCCCCACCAAGGCGAACGGGGGCGGTATAGGCAAAACTGATGTCACGTACGCGAAGAAAGGTACTCGCTGCTGTGATTGGTTGGAAACTTATTGAAAGTCGTTTCAAATTAAATGGTAGTTATTTCAGCAAGCCCAAAGCCACTGCCGTCTTTTTCTTTTGTGGATGTTCTCAGGCTGTACGCATACTTGACGAGTCAGCGAGTCGAAGATCAACTGTGTTGGGTACGTAGTTTTCTGACAACGGACGTCCCAAAGACATCTTTTAACGGTTGTCACAATTGGGACAACAAACGTTGCCGCTTGTTATCTTTTGATACACGTACATCTTCATTTGTGAGTGTGTGTGGGCGTGATACATCCGACATCTAAAAATAACATGGAAAAAATATTTTTCGAAACTCATTTCATAATGTGAAACCCATGTCATTCCATTCAGAATGAAATATCCCTATTTCAAGCCTCTAGTATTAGCCAATGTATGATTATGGCTCTCAGACACGGTTAAGAGAAATCAAAAATTCAATGCCTCAGAAAATAGAAATGCATGTCTCAACTCAACTGTATTTATAGAGCACTTTCAAACAGCCGTCGCTGCATACAAAGTGCTGTACATGGAGCGTCTCGTGCACTATTCCATAATCTAGCCAACACTCGCAAAAGTTTGCTTGGGCTTGAGTTGTCACTGTGGGGATGTCCGCAGGAATAACTTGACTGTTATCACCAACATTTGACTGGATTCAGCACCGGTGTCAAGTCCGGTCCTCGGCGGCCGGTGTCCTGCAGGTTTTCCATGGCTGCCTGCTGCAACACACCTGATTGAAATGCTCAGGATCATTATCAGGCTCCGATAGGGCTTGCTGATGAAGTGGAAATGAAGAAAAGCTATGGCATCCGTCAAAGCGAATAAAAATTGACTTTGTATAGGCTCTGGAAAATATTCTCTGCGACGCTGAATGTTGAGTATTCATCATCTGTAAGCAACGTGCAAGAAAAAAAGCTTCTGCGTCTGCCAAATTATTCTATGGAATTGGGTTTCACGTTCAGAAATGAGTAAGAAACCCGCCCCCCCCCAGCTTTTTCATGACAATTTTATTTTTTAAGCGCTATCTGTCGTAATTGTGGCATACCAAATGAAATGAAACGCTGTGCTTTTCATCTGCAGGCTGCAGATATTTGAGAAAGTATCTGCCCGTCGATCAGGCCCAATTGAAGTCTAATAACATCGTCTTTGCCGACGGCAAGACGTCGACGATGGCTGATCTGACGACAGGGTGTTCCTCATCTGTTGTGGAAAGTCCAGAAGCGGATGAAACGACAGAAAACATTCCCCCAGGAGTAACGCCACCAGCTAAGAGGCACTATTTGGATGAGCGTGACTTCCCAGATCTCAGTCTCCTTGAAGTCACAGAAAATGACAACACGCATCATCGCACAATGGAGGAGATCTCGCTACTGAAAAACCTGCCGGCAACGCCTCTGATTGCAAGGACATCGTTCAGAAAGCCTGGTACGATGGTGGAAATCATGAACAGCAACTCTAAATTGGCTTCCTTCCAGACGCCAAGGACGGAGGGAAAAGCGAACGGCAGCCAAGCACGCAAACCGGAGACAAATGCTTCCATCTTCTGGTTGTACAATGAGAGCTTACCGGACTGTACCGATTACTCATTTGATTCCTTCATGGAGCAGAGTGTAAACTTCACTGTCAACGTATCTCCTTCCGACATGCAATTGCTTTGCAGCGGTGCACCGAAGGCGAGCGTTGAGTCGAATTTAGCAAGGGCGGCAACCCTTGATGAATCGTCCAAGCCTTCCCCCTTAGCCGCATCGCAGCTCAGCTTCACGCAAAGCAACGAATGCGATGCGTCAACATCCCAGGATAAAGATCCCTCCCTGGGGAGAGGACCTGCGGAACAGGACGGCCTGCCCTCTGGCAACACAGCTGAGTGTACGACCGGCGCGATGGGAGATGCCAGCACAATTTCTCACTCGCCGGACCACGGCCACCACGACACCTTCGAGGTTTGCGTCAAAGGTGTCGTGGAGACTCCTCCCTCTCAGGCGAATGGAGCTCTGTCAGAAAGCAACGCCAGCGACATTCGGCACAACACCTTGGAGGCGAAACCTCCCTGTTGGGCCGGCGGAACGATAACGTTGTCAGACAGCAGTTCCGCCGACCGCCACCACGAGACCTTTGATGCCAAGCTTCCGTCTGCATCAAGTGGAACCG